GGAGGTAACTTCAGATAGTGTGATGACTCTAACAGTCTTTAGGCAGATTTTGCTAGGTCAAGTGTAGTAGACTCCACAGCTGCCTAGTGACAAGAGGTGCTTTCAGCTCTGGTGCAGTGTCTTCTGTAATGACCAGTGCCGGTACGGGGTGAAGCCTGGGGCCAGACATTGGCATCCATCCATTACATGGACCACTTGATCAGATGACACACCAGTTAAGAAGCCACTTAAGTCTCCCCCTCCACAGGGAAAAAAGAGAAGAACAGATGTCTTCTTGGGTGTATCTGGATTACTGCTTTCATTTGTCTACTTGGCCAGTAGTAAGTTGGTAAAAGGTGTATAAATGCTGAGAGGCATCAATGAAAGCATGTTTTGGAAAAGTCTCATTTACATAGTGAATCAATATTTATTAAGTCCCTACTATGTACTTGGCACTGTTCCAGACACTGGGATCACAGTGAGAGGTGACAATGTGCTAGCAGCCCTCACTCAGCGCCTCCTTGGCCTCCGCGTCCACTCTGGCAGTGCTTGAGGAGCCCTTCAGCCGGCCACGGTATGGTGGGAGTCCCTTTGGGCTGGCTGAGGTCGGAGTCGCTTACCTCTGCTTGTGGGGAGTGTGGAGGGAGAGGCGCAGGCGGGAACCGGGGCTGTGCTGGGCTCTCACGGGCCAGTGCGAGTTCTGGTGGGCGTGGGCGCAGGCTCGGGGGGCTGCACAAGGAGCGGCCTGGCCTGCGGAGCCGCTGGCCCAGAGCAGTGAGGGGCTTAGCACCTGGGCCAGCAGCTACGGAGGTTGCGCGGGGTCCCCCAGCAGTGCTGGCCCGCCAGCGCTGCACTCAAATTCTCGCAGGGCCTTAGCTGCCTCCCCAGGGAGCAGGGCTCCGGACCTCCAGCCCGCCATGTCTGCACTCCCCCACCTAAGGTGGACTCCCGCACCGCCCAAGCCTCCCCTAGGGGCGCTGCCCCCACTCTCGCCCCCTGCTCTGTGGTGCTGGGTCCCATCCACAGCCCAAGGGCTGAGGAGTGCAGGCGCAGCTCAGGACTGGCAGGCAGCTCTGCCTGCAGCCCCAGTGCAGGATCCACTAGGTGAAGCCAGCTGGGCTCCTGAGCCGGATGGGGACTTGGAGAACTTTTATTTCTAGCTGGAGGATTGTATGTGTACCAATTAGCACTCTGTGTCTAGCTCAAAGTTTGTAAATACACCAATCGGTACTCTGTGTCTAGCTCAAGGTTTGTAAATACACCAATTGGTACTCTGTACCTAGCTAACTCTGTGTCTAGCTAACCTAGTGGGGACTTAGAGAACTTTTCTGTCTAGCACTCTGTCTAGCTCAAGGATTGTAAACGCACCAATCAGCACTCTGTGTCTAGCTCAGGCTTTGTAAATACACCAATCAGTACTCTGTGTCTAGCTCAAGGATTATAAACACACCCATCAGCACTCTGTCAAAACAGACCAATCAGCTCTCTGTAAAACAGACCAATCAGCTCTCTGTAAAATGGACCAATTGGCAGGATGTGGGTGGGGTCAGACAAGGAAATAAAAGCAGGCTTCCCCAGCCAGCCAGTAGCAACCCGCTTGGGTCCCTTTCCACACAGTGGAAGCTTTGTTTGCTTGGGTCCCTTTCCACACTGTGGAAACTTTGTTCTTTCGCTCTTTGCAATAAATCTTGCTGCTTTTCACTCTTTAGGTCAACACTACCTTTATGAGCTATAACACTCAACCACGAAGGTCTGCAACTTCATTTCTAAAGTCAATGAGACCACGAACCCACCGGGAAGGACGAGCAACTCCAGACGCACTGCCTTAAAGAGCTGTAACACTCACCACCAAGGTCTGCAGCTTCACTCCTGACAGCGAGACCACGAACCCACCAGAATGGAAGAAGCTCCAGACACATCTGACCATCTGAAGGAACAAACTCTGGACACACCATCTTTAAGAACTGTAACACTTACCGCGAGGGTCCGCGGCTTCATTCTTGAAGTCAGTGAGAACAAGAACCCACCAATTCTGGACACAAAAGAATGGACAGCATCCCTGCTGTCAAGGAGCTCAGTCTATTATAGGTGGTAGCTGACATGTAAATAGACAATTATAACACAGAGGGATCAGTGCTCCACAGAGTCATCCTCAGAGTGCTGGGCAAGGGAGAAAGGAAGGACCATGTCTGCTTAAGAGTATCTAGGAAAGCTTCACAAAGGAGGTAACTTCCAGCTATACCTCAGGGGAGGAAAAGACTGCCCTCCCACAAAGCTCAAGTAATATTAATACCAAACATGAAATACATAAATTAGTTAGCACCTGAAGGACTCTAATCAGTAATTCACACTCTAGGGTACAGAGTTAGCATTTCAATGTAGTTAATCACAAGTCCAAACTACAGATGGCAGCCACTATATATCTTTAGCTTTCTAAATCTACACTTAAAACATTTGCTAATTAGTAAATGATTTGTTAGAAACAATTTTACCCTTGAGTGATACTCAAAGCATATGAATTGGCTAGAAAAATATAGGCATCTCTTCCTTTGAAAGAATAGGTTACAGAATCTGGAAAGCCTACCAGCCTAATATTGTCTTCAGAGAGACACACTCAGGGCAGGAATTAGGAAGGTTCTGTGACCCACTACTGAGAGCAGAAGGTTTTGTCACCTGGTTCAAATTGAGTCAATGATGTGAGAAATAAAAATAAAATCCTAAGCTCCCAACTGACTCAACAAACCATCTCTTGGCCAAGGGGAGCCCAGAGATACCTTAAAAAAATTTAAGTTTTGGCCATGATGGGAAAGGAGTTTCAACAGGCCTTGTTCTACTCCCTCCCTCACTAACTGCCATTAGTTTCTTTTCCCCCCTAAGGGCTAAACAGAAACTAGCCCTTCAAAAGACTAACTTGAGGCCATGTGTGGTGGCTCACGCCTGTAATCCCAGCACTTTGGAGCTGCCTGTAATCCCGGCACTTTGGGAGGCCGAAGCAGGTGGATTACCTGAGGTGAGGAGTTCAAGACTAGCCTGACAACAACAGGGCGAAACCCCGTCTATACTAAAAATATAAAAAAATATTAGCCGGGCGTGGTGGCAGGCACCTGTAGTCCCAGCTGCTTGGGAGGCTGAGACAAGAGAATCGCTTGAGCCCAGGAGGCGGAGGTTGCGGTGAGCCAAGATCGCGCCACTACACTCCAGCCTAGGCTACAGAGCAAGACTCTGTCTCAAAAAGAAAAAGAAAAAAAAAAAAAAAAAGACTGACTTCACCACTGGTATCAACCAATCATCTAATTCTGCTCTTCCCTCACTGTCCTTATAGTCAGGTTTGATACCTTCTGGAAGACTTGGTTGCTTGCTCCATCATGTGGAATGCCTTCTCCATCCAGTGCTCCCGCTGCAATTTCCAACACCATTTCTATCCCTTTAGTCTGATGGCTGATTGCCCTCAACAATTCCATGATTGAATCCAAAATACACGCTTTGTGACATTTCCTGGTATTAGTTAATTGCCATCAAGAGGATTAACATCTTTGAGGGGCTGGGCGCTGTGGCTCACACCTGTAATCCCAGCACTGTGGGAGGCTGAGGTAGGAGGATTACTTGAGTTCAGGAGTTCAAAACCAGCCTGGCCAATGTGGTGAAACACTGTCTCTACTAAAAATACAAAAATTAGCTGGGTGTGGGGGCGTGTGCCTGTAATTCCAGCTACTTGGGAGGTTGAGGCAGGAGAATTGCTTGAACCCGAGAAGCAGAGGTTGCAGTGAGGTCATGCCACTGCTCTCCAGCCTGAATAACAGATGGAGACTCCGTCTCAAAAAACAAACAAACAAACAGACAAACAAACAAACCCAGAAAACCATCTTCGAGGGATTTTCTGCCTCTGGCAAAAAAGAACTACTCTAAGGCCTAAGCAATAATTCTAATTCCAAAGGCAGACCCTTGCCCAAATCTGCCACCTGGTGGCCAGTCGATAAAGACCAGCACTTCCCTGGCTTCTAGGATCTGGGGCTAATGTTTCATCCAACTCAGAAGTTCTCACACCAAGCCTGATCTGGTGGCTCATGCCTGTAATCCCAACACTTTGGAAGGCTGAGGGGGGTGGACCATTTGAGGTCAGGAGATCAAGACCAGCCTAACCAACATGGTGAAACCCCATCTTTACTAAAATACAAAAAGTAGCCGGGCATGGTGGCAGATGCCTGTAATCCCAGCTACTCGGGAGGCTGAGGCAGGAGAATTGCCTGAACCCAGGAGGCGGAGGTCACAGTGACCCGAGATTGCGCTACTGCACTCCAGTCTGGGCGACAGAGTGAGACTCCCTCAAAAAAAAAAAAAAAAAAACAAGTTCTCATACTAGCTGCACACTGGAATTATCTGTGGAGCTTAAAAATTCCAGTGCCCTGCCCAGGCCATGCCACACCCCAGTCCAAGTAATCAAAATCTCTAGGAACAAGACCTAGAGAGACACATTAGAATCCCAGGTGAGCTTTTCAAAAATATGCTTCTCAGGAATGCACCCGACCTACCCCATCACTGTCTCACAGGAGCAGGGCTCAACTCTCTGTAATCTGAATAACTTCTGGGCAGTTCTCTTACCCCTGCTGAAGAACTGTAGGTCTAGTTTGTTGTTTGCTCCATCTGCCTGCCGGACAAACACACATTCTGGCCCCTCTCTGATTTGTCTTCATGGGTATCCACTGAAGCCGGAAAATGAGGCTCAGAGAGGCTGAGTGACTTGCCCAGGGTCACAACAAGCCTGGCAGAGCTGGGCTGCAGCTTGAAGCCTAGTCTTATCTATTTATTTATTTGAGACGGAGTCTCGCTCTGCAGCCCAGGCTGGAGTGCAGTGGCGTGATTTCGGCTCACTGCAACCTCCGCCTCCCGGAGCCCTAGTCTTTTAATCCCACCCACAACTCCATGCTACGTGATGCTTAGCTCTGCTGCAGGGGAATTCTTCATTTTAGTGAACTAAAATTCTTAGAGGGGGAAACAGAAAAATAAAAGAAGTCAAGAGGTACCCCAAAGGAAACATCATAGTCCTCAAAGGTGTATGGCTTGTCTGCAAGGTCTTCAAAAAACTCTGCTAAAGAGTCCAGCGTTTCCTCTGCTAGTCTTTCATAGGTGGTATCATCTAGAGAGCTGCAGGGGAAACACAAAACCCAAAACACGATTACCAAACACTTCCATTTTACTAATACCAAATTTACACACTTGTTATTTAAGTTCATTAAACTGATGAAAATAACATGTACAAAGTAAAAGTTTGTCCTTTTTTTTTCGAGACAGAGTCTCACTCTGTCACCCAGGCTGGAGTGCAGTATCTGGTCTAAACTCCTGATATCAAGTGAGCCACGTGCCTCGGCCTCTCGAAATGTTAGGATTACAGGTGTGAGGCACCATGCCTGGCCCAAAGTAAAAATTTAAACAGCACGGAAGGGGTTACAGAAAGAAGCAGGCAGCCCCCATTCCCAGAAGCAGCTACAAATAATAGTCCTTTCTGGGCCAGGTGGCAAGGTGGCTCATGCCTGTAATCCCAGCACTTTGGAAGGCCGAGGTGGGTGGCTCACCTGAGGTCAAGAGTTCGAAACTAGCCAGGTCAATATGGCGAAACCCTGTATCTATTAAAAATACAAAAATTATCATGTCCTTTGCAGGGGCATGGATGAAGCTGGAAATCATCATTCTCAGCAAACTAACACATGAACAGAAAACCAAACACCACATGTTCTCACTCATAAGTGGGAGTTGAACAATGAGAACACATGGACACAGGGAGGGGAACATCATACACTGGGGCCTGTCGGGGGGGTGGGGGGCAAGGGGAGGGAGAACATTAGGACAAATATCTAATGCATGAGAGGCTTAAAGCCTAGACGACGGGTTGATGGGCGCAGCAAACTACCATGGCACACGTTTATCTATGTAATAAACCTGCACATTCTGCACATGTATCACAGAACTTACAGTATAATAATAATAATAATAAATTAGCTGTGTGTGGTGGCGTGACCTTGTAGTTCCAGCTACTCGTGATGGTGAGGCACAAGAATTGCTTGAAACCAGGAGGCAGAAGTTGCAGTGAGCTGACATCGTGCCACTGTACTCCAGCCTGGGTGACAGAGCGAGGCTGTCTCAGAAAAAAAAAAAAAAGTCTTTTCTGTATCCTTCTATCTGCATATTCTTTTTAATATACAAATGAAGCATTTTGCATTTTTTCACTTAATTGTGTCTTAGAAATTTGCATTTTTTCACTTAATTATGTCTTAGAAATTGTTCTATATTAGCACCTATGGATTTTTATAATATTTAATTTTATGTTATTTATCCAGTCCTCTTTAGCTGGACATGAAGGATGCTTCCATTGCTTTTGTTATTAAAATTTTGCTTTTGCCCAAAATTTTGTTGGGCAAATCACAAAGTGGGAGAAAATATTCATATTACATACATCTGAAAAATGATTCATCCAGAATATATAAAGAACACCGGCTGGGCGCAGTGGCTCACGCCTGTAATCCCAGCACTTTGGATGGATGAGGTGAGTGGATCACTTGAGGTCAGGAGTTCGAGATCAGCCTGGCCAACATGGTGAAACTCCGTCTCTACTAAAAATACAAAAATTAGCCGGGCGTATTGGCAGGTGCCTGTAATCCCAGCTACTCGGGGGCCTGAGGCAGGAGAATCACTTGAACCCGGGAGGCGGAGGTTGCAGTGAGCTGAGATCGCGCCACTGCCCCCTCTACTCTACCCTGGGTGACAGAGTGAGTGAAACTCTGTCTCAAAGAAAAAAAAAAAAAAAAGAAGACCTACAAATAAATAAGAAAAAGAAAAATCAACAGAAAAAAATGAGCAAAATACTTGAATAGATTTCATAAATAAAAGATACCCAAATGCCCAATGAACACATAAAAAGGTGTTCAACTTTGTTAATCTTCAGGAAAATGGAAATTAAAAAATCACAGTGAGATGCCACCAGAATGGTTAAAATGTAAAAGGGCGGGAACCCTCGTAGCACCAGTGATGAAAGAGAGAATTTAATGCGGGTGATGTTGGGAAAGATTTTTGTTCAGAAGTATGCCCAGTGCCACACTATGGAAAAGGGGGCAAGCACAAAACTGAGCCAAATCTCCATGGTCTGTCTTTTTGGGCAGAAGACAGGTCAGGCCGTTGGATTCCCTTACACAGACGCCAATAAGAACAAAGGCATCACCTGGGGAGAGGACACACTGATGGAGTATTTGGAGAATCCCAAGAAGTACATCCCTGGAACAAAAATGATCTTTGCCAGCATTAAGAAGAAGGCAGAAAAGACAGACTTGGTAGCTTATCTCAAAAAAGCTACTAATGAATAATAATTATCCACTGTCTTATTTATTACAAAACAGAAATGTCTTATGACCCTTTTATGTGTACCATCATTTAACAGACCTCATAAACCAGAATTCAGATCATGAATGACTGACAGAATATGTTTGTTGGGCAGTCCTGATTTAACTAAGACTGGCTTGTGGTTAAATGAGTATGTTCGGTGTTTTGAATTTTAATGGTAATTCTGGGCCTGGTGTGGTGGCTCACGCCTGTAATCCCAGCACTCTGGGAGGCTGAGGCAGGCGGATCACCTGAGGTGAGGAGTTCAAGACCAGCCTGAACAATATGGTGAAACCCTGTCTCTACTAAAAATACAAAAATTAGCTGGGCTTGTAGTGCACGCCTATAGTCTCCAGCTGCTTGGGAGGCTGAGACAGGAGAATCGCTGAAATCCTGGAGGCGGAGGTTGCAGTGAGCTGAGATTGCGCCACTGCACTCCAGCCTGGGTGACAGAGTGAGACTCCGTCTCAAAAAAAGAAAAAAAAAAAAAAAAAAAGGTTGGGTGTGGTGGTTCATGCCTGTAATCCCAGCATTTTGGGAGGCTGAGGCAGGTAGATCACCTGAGGTCAGGAGTTCGAGACCAGTCTTGCCAACATGGTGAACCCTCGCCTCTACTAAAAATATACAAATTAGCTGGGCATGGTGGGGCGAGTCTGTAATCCCAGCTACTCGGGAGGCTGAGGCAGGAGAATCGCTTGAATCCAGGGGGCGGAGGTTGCAGTGAGCCGAGGTGGCGCCACTGCATTCTAGCCTGGGCAACAAGAGCAAAACTCTATCTCAAAACAAAAAACAAAACAAAACAAAAAAAAACACAAAAAAACCCAAGTTACTCTGATTCAGTAAATACTATCATTGTTTATTCCTTCTAAAGATATGATCAGATTTCATTAGTAATGTTCAACTTTTCACAAAGATGATGAATGCCATCTTAAAATCTATTGGAGATTTTTTTATATTTAGATTTATGTAACTGGTTATGTAAATATATTTAAATACTGGAGGAAATTCCTTCACTGTCTCAGAACCCAGCAAGATTCACCTGTATTTTGTGTTCATTTGCCTCTTAAAGGCAAGGGCTGAAGATAAGGTAGCAATGTCAACTTTATATTTTTGGCCTTAACTGTGCCAATCCAATTAGAATTTTCTGTATCTAAAATGGGTCATTTTACTTACTGAAAGACATTTTAGTGTGGTTTATGTGTAATATCAAAAAAAGATTATTTAACACTTCTCACATTAAAGAAAAAAAAAGAAAAGAAAGAGACAGATCGTATCAAGAGCTGGCCATGGGCTGGGTGCAGTGGCTCATGCCTGTAATACCAGCACTTTGGGAGGTCAAGGGAGAAGGATCACTTGAACCCAGGAGTCTGAGACAACGTAGAGACCCCATCTCTACAAACAAATTAAAAAAACTAGCTGGGTGTGGCACATGCCTGTAGTTCTGGCTCCTCAGGAGCCTGAGGTGGGAGGGATCACCCAAGCCAGGGAGGTCAAGGCTGCGGTGAGCTGTGATGGCGCCATTGCATTCCATCCTGGGTGACAAAGTGAAACCCTGTCTTTACAGTAAAATAAAAGAAAAGAAAAAAGAGCTGGCCAAGAAAAGAAGCAACTAGACTTTTCAGATACTGCTGATAGGCAAGTAAGTGGGACAATCACTTTGGAAAACTGTTGGACAGTATCTACTAAAGTTGAATGCATTTACATGCTATGACCCATCAGTTCCACTCCTAGGGGCTACACCCAACAGACATGTGTGCCCAGGTTCACCAAAAGACATGTGCTACACTAAAATATTTGTATCATAACTATCCTATAGCCCCAAACTGGAAACTGTCCAAGTACTCCTTTGTAATACCATAGATAAATAAATTATGGTATATTCATACAATGGAATACTACACTGCAAAATAGAATTGTCTATAGGAACCGTATGGATGAATCTCACAAACATCATTGTGATAGAAAGAAATACACAAGTATACACAAACATGGTTATACTTAATGAGACAGTTTAGTGAAAGACAGGCAGAACTAACCTATGCTATTGGTAATCAGAATAGTTAAACTCTGAGGGGTTAATGACTAGAAGGAAGAGAGGGAGGGGTTAATGGCTAGAAGTGAGCAGGCAGCTTGCTTGCAGCGGCTGGTAACATTCTATGTCTTGAGCTTACAGGGTATGTTCACGGGACTGTTCAATTTTTTGCAAATTCATCAAGCTGTATGCTCGTGACTGGACACATTTCTTTACAGATACTATTTTTCAAATTTAAAATTACTTTAAATCCACAGAGACAGAAAGTAGATTAGTGATTGCTGGGTTTTAGGGAAAGGCGGAATGGGGGAGTGACTGCTAATACAAATAGGGTTTCCTTCTGGAGTAATGAAAATGTTCCAGAATTAGATAGTGGTGATAGCTGCACAAACTTGTGAATATACTAAAAACGCTTGCATTATACATTTTAAAATGGTGAGTTTATGGCATGTAAATTATAACAACAAAAGTATTATTATAATAAATATCCTTATAAGAGCTTTTGTGCCCCTGTGAGGATATATTAATATCTGTAGGTTATAAGATATGTAACAGACAACTCCACTATCTGAAAGTTTCCAAGGGGCCTAAAAGTAAGACACCAGGGGCTGCTAGACAATTACTGTAAGACATACAGATCTGCCATATGACCCTCTTACCCGCCCAGTCCATCACCCACTTCCAGGATACAATGTGGGGAAGGCTACCTGACTGGATTGGTGAGGAGATGTCCTTTAAAAGGAGTGGTTGGCCTGATAGGGTGTGTTTTGAGAGTGAGCTGGAGAGAAAGGGTGTGTTTTGAGAGTGAGCTGGACAGATAGGGTGTGTTTTGTGAGTGAGCTGGACAGATAGGTTGTGTTTTGAGAGTGAGCTGGAGAGAATGGGTAGGAGAGGTTGGTTGACATGTGTTGAAGAATTTGAGAAACATAAAGACACAACCGACTTTATACCTGACAGTTATAAAGTCCAAAGTGAAGAGGTTGGAAGGTGCTACCTGCCAGCAGAGAGCTGGGCCCTGGCAGAAGTGGGCTGTCTTCCTACACATGGCAGGTCAAGGGTGTGCTTCCCACAGGCCAGAGGGAGCTGAACTTGGGGCATCCTGCAAGGGCCCTATGCAACCTCCCAGACTGCCAGAAGGAGTAAGGAGAAAACGACAGAGAGTCTGTTGAGGGGGGAATGCTGGAAGCCGAGGCTGGAAATGGATGCCACCAAAGCAAAAAACTCAAACATGCAGCATGCTGTGCCCCTTTGAGACTGTGGCAAAGTCAATGAACAGACACCGCAGGCTGGGAGGTTCAGAGTCTCTTCAGACCTTGTGAGCCATGCAAAGCTCTCTGGAAATCTGAGTCTCAGAAAACCTGGAGGGCCAACTGTAAGCCTACTGAGCATATAGCTCTGGGGACAGTTAGAATGTTCCTGAATACGGGTGGCTTCTTATTGTTTTTAATAGATGTGACAAGAAAAGAGTAAGCCAGCAGATGGAATGAAATGGAGCATTGGAAATAAAAGGCTGCACAAACGTGGAAAGTCAAAGGGAGAATCTAAGGCTTTTTTTTTCTTCTTCTTTTTTTGAGATGGAGTTTTGCTCGTTACCCAGGCTGGAGTGCAATGGCATGATCTCGGCTCACTGCAGTCTCTGTCTCCCGGGTTCAAGCGATTCTCCTGCCTCAGGCTCCCAAGTAGCTGGGATTACAGGTGCCCGCTACCACGTCCGGCTAATTTTTTGTATTTTTAGTAGAGACACGGTTTCACTATGTTGGCCAGGCTGGTCGTGAGTGAACTCCTGGCCTCAGGTGATCTGCTCGCCTTGGCCTCCCAAAGTGCTGGGATTACAGGCATGAGCCACTGCACTCAGCCAGAGAAGCTAAGGCTTTGAACAGCAAAGGTTTCCCATTGAGCCAAAACAAGAGACCCAGTCCAGCTGCAAAACACAGGCTGAGGGCATTGCTGGTCTCCAATCTTATTGTTTAACATGACCTCATGGTACCTGCCCTTAGGCTGAGAGAGCTGGGCATGGGGGCATGCAAGGAGATAAGGCAGCCTGAGGCTCCCATCCAGGGAGGAAATTTGGATGTGGTTCCTGGCACATAGGACTGCCTGAAAGTGAATAAATCAGAAGCCTACTTTTGGGAGAAGCCTACTCTCAAAGAAAAACGAGTCTGGGTTGGGCGCGGTGGCTCATGCCTGTAATCCCAGCACTCTGGGAGGCCGAGGTGGGTGGATCACCCGAGGTCAGGAATTTGAGACTAGCTTGGCCAACATGGTGAAACCCCGTCTCTACTAAAAATACAAAAATTAGCAAGGTGTGGCGCTGCATGCCTATAGTCCCAGCTACTCAGGAGGCTGAGGCAGGAGAATTGCTTGAACCCGGGGGGTGGAGGCTGCAGTGAGCCAAGATTGCACCACTGCACTCCAGCCTGGGTCACAGGGTGTGATTTCATAAAAAACAAAACAAAACAACAGAGAGAGAGAGAAAAAAAATGAGTCTGGCCTGAAATAGCTGATTGGAGTCTTAAAACAGCCTGTGGAACCCCAAACTGTTATCAGCAGGAAGTGGGCTGTGAAGGCTGCTCACCCCTGAGGAGGGCACCCTTCCCACTGCCTGCCTCCCCTGTGGCCAAGGAAAATAACAGACAAGGAGGAGGAGGAGGAGCCCCCCGGGAAGCTGAAGCAGGGATTTTGGAGGCAAATGCTCCTCTGCCAGGGTAGAGGTTGACCCAGTGCTGCCCAGCAAGTCTCCAGGGCTGCGGGTGGTCAGCACTGTGCCTCTTCTCCGAATGGAGTTACGGCTGCAGTTATCCTGCCCCTCTCCATCGTGTGTGTCTGTGTGTGTGCGCGTGTGTGTGTGTGTCTGTTTGTGTCTGTGTGTAGGTTCTGAAGAAGCCATTACTAAAGCTGACAGAGAGGAGACTGCATGTCACCTGGAAATCTCGGACTTGGAGGTGGCTGTGGTGACCACACAAGCATCGGTTGGCTCTCTTGGGGCTGGGGATAAATGCATCTGAGTGTGGAAGGAGGGTCCATGCAGATACTGGTTGGCAGGGGGTAGACTGTAGCCATGCCTGACAGCTTTCCATGGGGAATGCAGTGCTGGCTTCTTCCAGGGCACTCGCTAGACTATATTTCCCAGCCTCCCTTACAGTTAGCTAAGTCCACGCCACTAAGTTCTCCCCACCAGATTGTGAGTGAGGAACAAATGCCACTTCCAGCCCTTCTGTGCTTCTAGCCCTTTCTGGCAAATGGAACTTGGATAAAGTGAATGAGACTCAACAATGCAGAAGATAGTAAGGCACTGACAGATAAGGACCAAACTGGAAGCTGGAATGAGTGTAGTTCCTAATTCACTTCACAAGGTATGCCAACCTTGTACTGCCCAGAGAGGAGGACACAAACATTATCCGTGTGAGCCATTAAATATTTGGGTCTATTTGTGATAGCAGCAGGGCTTGCCCTAACTATTAGTATACTGAATAAAATAATATTGAAACTCTGGAAACAACCTGAATGTCCAACAATAGGGGATGGGTTAAATGGATTATGTCGCATCCATACGATCTAATACTATTTCATTAAAAAGAATGTGGTGGATACTCAGTCACATTGCTGCTCAGGAAGAAAACCAGGTTCTAATGGGAGAGGGAGGGAAGGAGGGAGGAAGATACCTATGAAGTGGAAGGTGTTTTATCTTACCCTGGGTGGCCCAAAGTTCCCGATTTCCTCAAATTCATCAAGTAGACACTCTGCCTTTTGACATTCCGAATCTGGTTGAGGCCACGGAGGTTCGAACTCTGAAAGTCAAAGTTAAGAAGTACATTACTATTCTCAGTGAATTATAACCCATTAATGCATAATTTATATATTGCTACTTCTACATTCAAGAGTGCCTATAACCGGGTGCTCCACTTTTTCTAAGAAAAAGGGAATACGTTACTTTTCTTTAAAAAACAATCTCCTCTTTTCTCTTCTCCTCTCCCCTGGTTCGGGGTTTCCTACTTAGCCCTTCAGAAATGCAAATATAAACTTTCACCTCCCCCTCACCACACATTCCCTGCAGGGCCAGCTTTTCTATCTGTGTGCTCTTGCAGAGCACAGATCTCTCCTCCGCTTGCCAGCAGATTTGCAGACCAAAGCAAACCCACCACAGAACTTTCCCCTCCAGTGGGTGGTGGCCTGGAACTTCCAACCTCGGGGGTTGCCTCAGGACTCTCTTTCACTGGGAGGGCATATTGAAAGCATGCCCACTTGGCCACTGCTACAGCTTATTTCTAACCAGGAAGGTTCCAAGTCAACTTTCCTGTAGAGTAGGCACAGAACTAGCAGAGGGACCCCCCTACTTGCCCTTGCACACTTCCCCCCTTACCTTGTAAAAGTGTCCACTTTCTGCTTCAAAGGGGAAGCAGCACTTTTAAAGAAAGGCAGGACGCTTTGTACCCTTTACCCAAGCTAGTTTTGGAATAAATTCACTTTTTTTTTGGTACCAGGCCTTGCTGTTGTTAATTGGACTCTGCATCCGGTGAACAACTAACCCGCATTTTGGTTACACAATCATGCTAAAGTGGTTTTTTTTTTTTTTGGTTTTTGTTTTTGAGATGAAGTCTCACTCTGTCACCCAGGCTGGGGTGCAGTGGCGCGATCTTGGCTCACTGCAACTCCGGCCTCCCGGGTTTGAGTGATTCTCCTGCCTCAGCCTCCTGTGTAGCTGGGACTACAGGTGCCCGCCACCACACCCAATTTTTTGTATTTTTAGTAGAGACGGGGTTTCACCATGTTGGCCAGGCTGGTCTTGAACTCCTGGCCTCAAGTGATCTGCCTTCCTCAGCTTCCCAAAGTGCTGGGATTACAGGCGTGAGCCACCACACACGGCCCTATGTTAAAGTTTTTTAGGAATATTTCTTAGGATTTTTTTTTTTCACCTTTTAGTGCATTACAGTGAGGTCTCCCTGTGTCTCTCTAAGCCCGTGTTGTCCAATAGGCTAGCCAACAAGCCACATGTAGCTATTTACATTTAAATTTAATGAGGTAAAATAAAGTCAGCTCCTCAACTGCACCACCAGTTTCAAGAATCCTGTGGCTACATGTGGCTAGTGGTGCAGACACAGCATTTCCATCACATCAGGAAGGTCTGCAGGGCAGGGCTACTGCAGGCTGTTCAGGTTACAGAGTGGTTAGCAGGAGGCTGGGAGGCATCCACAATGCTCTTAAAAGGTCACTAAGAGAAGCAACAGGAAATAGTAAGAGGCAGAAGCCTGCTGAAGTCCAGAAGATTGGCTCTGACTGCTGACTGCTGTCTGACAGATCTTATTAGCAAGATCTGCAGGAGAGAATGTGACCTGTCGATTTTTTTTTAGTCCCTAACTGCTGAGCATCCAGGCGACAGGGTCTGAGTTGATTACCACCAGCTCTGCTGACCAGCTGGGGAGATGAGGGAAATAATCAGACAAGAGCCAGTGGGGCAGAAGAGTGGTGCAGCTGGAGTGGAGAGATGCAGGGGAGTTGATGGAGGGAGGCGGGGGTGGCCTGGGTCTTGCCAAGGACCTCAGCTGGACCTCCTCCTGGGAAGGCACTGAAGGGCTTTAAGAGATTGGAGATAAGATTTACATTCTCCAAAGGTCACTGGTTGCCATGAAGAGAACAGGTGAGAGACTGTTACTGCTCTTGAGCCAGCAGTGCCCTTAGCAAACTCAGAAAAGGGAAGGCAGAAGGCACAGGGCTGGGAAGTGAGTGGAGAAGGAAACGGGCTGGTGGACAGTGGAGTGGGAGGTTAGGGCAGAGCGCAGACCTTAGAAACACATGGCTCTGAAGAAGTGAGAGGGCAGCCATGATAACCACTGTTAGAGCTATTGCACATTCTAGTGTTCACCGTCTGCTTGACACTGCTCTCAGCCTTTACATAAATGGACTCAGTCCTCATTACAATCCTGTGAGGGACGTACTCTTATTACAATCCTTATTCTCAATAGTTATGTGCTACAAAGTTGCCACAAACACTCAACGAGCACATTATTTATAGGAGAAATACAAGGCCACGTCCTCCTTAACCTGCTGGTTACAACATTGTTACCAATCGATCAATATATAACCTTATTTCTGTTTAAAGACACCTTATGAAATATATAGTTGATTCATTAACACTGATCTTGGCTGGGCATGGTAGCTCACACCTGTAATCCCTGCATTTTGGGAGGCCAAGGTGGGAGGATTACCTGAGCTGAAGAATTTGAGACCAGCCTGAGCAACATAGAGAGATCTCATTTCAACTTGAAAAATAAAAAACATGAGGCTAGGCGTTGTGGCTCATGCCTATAATCCCTGCACTTTGGGAGGCAGAGGCGGGTGGATCACCTGAGGTCAGGAGTTCAAGACTAGCCTGGCCAACATGGTGAAACCCCGTCTCTACTAAAAACACAAAAATTAGCGAGGTGTGATAGCATGTGCCTGTAATCTCTGCTACTCAGGAGGCTGAGGCAGGAGAATTACTTGAATCCGGGAGGTGGAGGTTGCAGTGAGCCAAGATTGCACCATTGCACTCCAGCCTGGGCGATGAGCAAAATTCCACCTAAAAAAAAAAAGAAATCAAAAACATCTGGGTGTGGTGGGGTGCCCCTGTAGTCCCAGCTACTCAGGAGGCCGAAACAGAGAGGTAGAGGCTTCAGTGAGCTATGATTACACCACTGCACTCCAACAGCCTGGGCAACGAGGGAGATCCTGTCTCAAACAACAGCAACAAATTAATTGACCTCAGGACAACAGCACCTTAACTCATGCCTGACAAAGCTTCTCTAACACATGCATATTCTCTGTAATGAACATCACAGCCTCCTTGTGCTGAACTTTGCACTACACTTGGAGACAATTTTAACAGAGAAATCACCAGAAAAAAGCATAAAAATGTGAAAAACATGGCATTAACCAGACTGTGAAAAGGACACTCTTTACACTATGACAGCTGAAATAAGAAGGCAGGGCAGCACTTTGTCGAACCTTGGCTGGGAACATGAGCCTGGAGGAGCTCACATTTTTTTGCCGCTCTGCACACATCTTTGAAACGACCACAAAAGGGCCAGGGGTACTGATTTTGGGGGAACAGATTTTAGCAAGTGGGCAAATTCACAAGTAGAGAATCTCAACAAATCAGGATCAACAATTGTGTTTTACAGATGAGGAAACTGACGCACCAAAGGGTAAGTTGCTTACACAGATACAGAGACATTAAGTGGCAGAGCTGGGATTGAACTCAAGCTGTCTGGCCCCAGAGTGTGTGCACAGTGGAATGAATTGTTTTCCCAGCAATCAGAGCAGTGCTCAAAACATCCAAGGAAAAGCGTCTGAGAATGTCAGGCGCACCTCGGGGAAGTTCCCGAATCTCCAGGATCCTGGCCCTTCAAACCTTAGTTGTCTTAGTCGCTGATACCTTCACAATAGCTGTTTTTGTTTGTGTGTGTGTGTTTTTAATTTAATAGAGATTTGATGGTTGTTATTGGTGGGAGGTTTGGTCAAATGTAGATTACTCATTCAAAGGCACAAGTAGAAGTCTTTCTTCGGCTCTTTTTAATCATAAAAAGGAACCATTGCCAAATACTCCTTCCTTTATATCCTACCTGCTTTTGTCAGTTTAATATTCCTTGGGCAACTGCTAAATCTTTTGGAACCTCAGTTTACTCCTCTGAAGGAAGGGATCAAGGTACTCACAACAAACCTCACAATCGTGAGCATAAAACAAGAGAACAGAAATACCCCAAGTACAGAGCCTGAGGGTGTTCAGGCTCTGAACAAAAGCATGGAGACCTAGGTCAGAGGCAAATGTCGGCCTCTGCCTGAGGGAGGCTCCATTCTGTTCTGCTTGAGGGAGGCAAAGCTTGGAGGTCAAGGTCATAGGATGAGTGTTTTCTTTCTTTTTCCTTTTTTTTTTTTTGAGACGGAGTCTCACTCTGTCACCTAGGCTGGAGTGTAGTGGCATGATCTCGGCTCATTGCAACCTCTGCCTCCCGGGTTCAAGCGATTCTCCTGCCTCAGCCTCCTGAGTAGCTGGGATTACAGGCATGTGCTACCATGCCCAGCTGATTTTTATATTTTTAGTAGAGGCGAGTTTTCACCATGTCGGCCAGGCTGGTCTTACTCCTGACCTCATGATCCACCCACCTTGGCCTCCCAAAGTGCTGGGATTATAGGCGTGAGCGACTGCACCTGGCCAGGATGAGTGTTCTTTCTAAAGCCACCCAGTGGCCACCTCTCCTTCTAACTCCAGGTCACCTGTGAACCCTTGGACCACAAGTCATGCTAGGCTTGCCTAGCTTGAGTCTTCAGATGTGTGTGCTCGCTCACACAGTGCCAGCTCATGGGATGCAGTTGAGGAAATAGTAGTTTCTGGGCCTAAAGTCTCAGGCCCATGGGTCAGGAACCACTTGACCCAATCGTTGCCCATCCCCTGGTAAGGACTGGCCTGGGTGGCCAGCAAGGAGCTCAGCTTTCCTTCCCAGGTGTCCCCTTGACGCCCCCAGCCCCGTCAAACCACAGCACTTGAAGAATGAATCAGGACTTATGCCTCGCAGGGGGAGGATGAACTGGTACAACCACTTTTGGCATCAAATGAGTTGACTATTGGCTGGCCCTTTGCCCAGCAATTCCATTCTGAGAAATTCACCTGAAAGGAACTTCTGTCCATGCACAAGAACAGTCACAGCAGCACCATCATAGCAGAACACTGCAACCAACCCAATGTCACCTAAAGGAGCCTGGGGAGAGTGTGACATAGAGTGTGATATATTCACCCAACTGGACACTATCCAGC